TGGGAAGTTTTTCCTAATGTTCAACCTATGCTTCCCTTGCTGTAGTTTAAGTCCATTGCTTCTTGTCCTATCATCAGGAGTCAAAGGAGAACAATTTTTTCTCTCTTCTACTTGTAACACCCTTTTAGATACTTGGCCCTGGGGGAGGAGGAACGCGGTGGGGGTTCCCCTGTGCCGTGGGAGGGAGGGGGTCAGCCCCAGGGAAGGAGGAACATGGGGGGGGTCAGTCCCAGGAGAGGAGGAATGCGGGGGGGTTTCCCCTGTGCCGTGGGAGGGAGGGGGTCAGCCCCAGGGAAGGAGGAACAGGGGGGGGGTCAGTCCCAGGAGAGGAGGAATGCGGGGGGGTTTCCCCTGTGCCGTGGGAGGGAGGGGGTCAGCCCCAGGGAAGGAGGAACAGGGGGGGGGTCAGTCCCAGGAGAGGAGGAATGCGGGGGGGGGTCTCCCTGTGCCGCGGGAGAAGGGGGGTCACCCCGGGGGAGGTGCATGCCGGCTTCTCTCTGGGGGGTGGGATCTTGGGAGGAGGCAGGGGCAGGGGACTCTCTCCCCCGATTGGCACCCTGTTCCCTCTCCCCGGCCCTCAGCCCCCAAACTCCATCCCTAGCCCCCCAGCCACCAGCCCCAGAACTCCAACTCCATCCCCAGCCCCTCGGCCCCCAGCCACAGAACTCCAGCCCCAGCCTCCCTCTCCCCAGGATAGAACCAAAACCCTCAGTCGATATCTGCCCTTGGGGTTGGGGGAGGGGAGCCGATTGCATGGTTCGCCTAGGGTGCCAGTTGCTGGCAGCTAGGGCCGCCCCTGGCAACAGCATCACACTGTTGACTTATATTTAGCTTGTGGTCCACTATGACCCCTAGTTCTCTTTCTGCAGAACTCCTTCCTAGTCCAGTCACTTCCCATTCTGTATCTGTGAAACTGATTGTTCCTTCCTAAGTGAAGTACTTTGCATTTGTCTTTATTAAACGTCATCCTATTTACCACAGACCATTTCTCCACTTTGTCCAGATAATTTTGAATTATGACCCTGTTTTCCAAAGCATTGACAAGCCCTCCCAGCTTGGTATTATTGGCAAACTTAATAACTGTACTCTCTGTGTCATCATCTAAATCTTTGATGAAGCTAATGAACAGAACCGGTCCCAAAACAGACCCCTGTGGAATCCCACTTGTTATGCTCTTGCAGCATGACTGTGAATCATTAATAACTATTCTCTGAGAATGGTTATCCAATCACTTATGCACCCATCTTATCATAACCAGTGGACTGATCACTGCAGCAGCATCCTCTGGTAAAGTGAAGACCAGCCCTTAGTTCCTCTGTTCTACATTAAGAAAAAGTGTCTGTACATTTCTTCAGCAATTACAATAAATATGGCTCACTATCACCTTCCACATTTGTTTTATATTTTCATCAATTGAACATGGAGCAGCCAAGCCTCGGTTTCCAACTTGTTTATCGTGAAAAGGGCCCATTCTCTTTCGTGGTCAAATAGTTTGGTCATATGTTCCTTTATGTCTATATGAATGATGACTTCCCAGTGCATTCTTTTTCTCCATGTGACAGCAACTTGTTCTATCTCACCATATCTCAGCACTGTGAGAAATGGAAGGTAGGCTGAGTGATATACTAATACGTTTCTCTATGAACCTCAGAACAGTCTTCCCCAACACACTGAAGCAGTGTAGACTTTTTGGGAAATTATCTGGTTTTAGAATTAATTATTATAAGACAGAGACCCTCTTGATGGTTTACTCCAGGGTGTATCCATGCTGCAATAAAACACTCCAAAATGGCCCATGTCAGCTGACTGGAACTCAGGCTGTGGGGCTATACAGTTTCAATATAGATGTTCAGGCTCTAGCTTGTCCTTTTGCCTCCCCCGCCCTTTCCAATAACTTTTTGATACTCTTGGGAGACTAGGAATCCTTGTATAAAGGTTGGGCTCTTAGTGATTTTTACTAGATTTACCTAATTTCTTGATAGAATGGTCAAATATAATTTATTTGGCCAGTTTAAGGACATACTTTCATTTCAGAGATGCATCTTTATTTAAATGCATACAAACTTTTATATTTTTAATTGACTGAAGTCAAAGTCCAAGTTGAGGGTTGACCTACCCATGGAAGCCCCTAAGGGTCTAATCCCCTTTTATGAATGACTTGGCCTTCACCTAAGCCCATTTACAAGACCCTCCAATGATCTCAATTGGTACATCAAACCCCCTTACTTAGGGCAGAGTGGTTCTGGGGCTCGAGTCTGTACACAAGTCCTCTCTGCTAGGGATAGTAAGGCCTAGTGGCCAGAGACCATTCACAAGTCTGTTCTAAAAGGATAAATATAGCCTAGTAGCAACAATCCACATGCAGGTCCCTTCTATTATGGAAAATACAGCCTAGAGGCCAGAGGCCATATACATATCTCCTCTAATAGGAGAAATACAGCTTAATGGCCACAGTCCAGATGCCTGTAGGAAAACTTCACCCACAAGGGCTAGCTACAGAGGAAATACGGGGACATGGGCCCTCCCACTCCACAGGGCCCCAGCTCAGTGCCCTGTTGGCAGTGGCACAGACCACTGCCCACTCAGCAGGGAATCCTGCCGCAACATGTTGAGCGCCCGGAGAACAATTCCCCACCCTGGGCTAGTTCCTACCGTTCCTTGGTCGGTGTTCTTTTCTGCCATCCTACTCCGGGGTCATGGCTCATAGGTAGCTTCTCCTCAGCCTGCCTGCTGCTGTGTGGTCTGGTGACGTCTGCTTCTCTGGCTCCAGAACTTTCTCCGTGCCACCTTCCCCTTCCACAGTCAGCCCAGACTGAGCTCCAGGGGCCTTTATAGCCTGCCTCCACTCTTGGAGCATACCCAGTAGAGCTGTGGGGATGGGGTCTTCTCAGCTAGCTGAGCCAAGACAACTCCCTGCGCTCCAGTGTGGTGTTGATATTATATCAAAGTCTTCTAGGCAGACTGTGCCGGGGTATCAGTTAAGCTAGCTAATGACAGAAGTAGCTCTTTGTCACCAAAGATGTGTGGGAGTAATCGGGCCCTACTCCCCCACCTGAAGTCAGCTGTGACTCTCAGCCAGCAGGTAGAACAGAAAGTTATTAGTCAACAGGGACACAGCGTAGAACAGACTTGTCAGCACAGTAAGTAGAAGCAGTCAGTACAATCCATCCCTGAGAGAAGGCATCCAGAGCTAGCTGGCTCCCTTCCTCCACCCCAAGCCATCCCAGACTCTCCACTCCTAGCATTCTGGGCCCAGCCTCCCAGCCAGGCTCCTCCTCTGGTCTTTGTCCTGCCCTCCTGGGCAAAAGGTATTACCTGGTCACTCCCCCTCCAGGGCTCAGGTCATTAGTCATTGGGTACATGTCGGAGGTAGAGACAGCCTCCCTCAGTGGAAGTCACACCCAAAATTCCCGTCACTATCTCGGTATTGGTGCAGTGCGAATACATGGATGGATTTCCCCATGCAACTAAAAATATCACTAGCCCTGTTGGGTGTTGACAATGTCATTACTAAGTGGAGGGCAGCTCCCCTTCACTATTTTTTTCATGAGGTTCCTAAAGCACAGTAGAACTCACATGCAACATAACAGGGGGAATAGAACCCCCACACCATCACACCTCTCCCCACTTCGAACTGAGCAGGGTCACTTAGCCAGTGACTTAGGCAAGTTCAGGCTCTTCTCTTCACAACAGGGAATTGGCTATAATATTATCATTCCCCTTACCATGGACCACCTCTATGTCGTAATCCTCCAGGAGCAGACTCCATCTCAGCAGCATTGCTTTGCCACTGTGCAGCCACGTCAGGGGAGGGTGGTCAGTGTATAGAGTGAAGCACCACCCAAATAGATTTGGCTGTAGCTTTCTAAGGGATGCACAATCTACACCACACTTTTGAAAGCTCAGAATCCCCCAGGTGACATAGATATACAGCTGCTGGATATTAATATCCCTGTTCAATTTAACTTTAAATCTTAAGGAAACATCTGGAGACAATGCTAAACCAGATACTAAACCAGAGATATCGTTCCTGTGAATCTGCTATTGATCCTTAAAAATAGTGTGTGATTGTAGCTACATATGTATTTATGGACTTTGGGAAAAAGCAAGCAAATACATGGATGTATTTCCTCATACAACTAAAAATATCCTTAACCCTGTTGGAGGTTGACAATGCAATTACTAAGAGGAGGGCAGCTCATTTTCACAGATTTTTTTTTCTGAGATTTGCAAGACATTCTGACGTTACTCAGGATTATAATCTGTATACCCCTTCTATGATCACTTGGTTAATTAAATATAGGACATTCTTACTACCAAGGGAGTCAAAATAATAATTATATTGACACCTGGCCTGCTCAGAAATTGTTGCTGCACATCATTTTCCTAATACTATATATGAAATCCTGACCCCACTGAAGTTAATGGGCATTTTGCCATTGACTTTTGTAGACAGAGCAAAAATTTCATACCCTGTATCTCTTTATGGAATAATTTCACATCACACTATAATACATATTTTACCACTTATCTCTGTATGTTACTTTCAAAATCATAATTTGAAAAGGGTTGCTTCTGAGGCCATATGTTTTGATTACATTTACTTAGTGAATATTTGTAAAAATCTATAAAAAATTAGACTAGTTCTTTTTAAAATAATCTCAGAAGTAAATTTATGAAAATATACAACATGAAATCCCAACAGGTTCATTCAGTCAGCCTGATAAGAATCAGAGGTAAGAGGGGACAGACTGTTTTCCCCCTCCATACCACTATTGAGCTGAGGGAAAACAAATTTCATTATCATTTTGTTTTTACTTTTATATTACTATCCTTTAAGGCCTTAATTACACCCTGCTACATGGGCTGGCAGCACTCATTAGTCGTCACTGCTGCTCTTAAGTAATGAATGCATTTTGATTACCTGTAACAGGTGTATGTTTCCCACAATGAATCAGTTGGGGTGGAGTCTGCCTGAGAACTAGAGACAGAAGCAAGGACTGAGACAACTGAAGCAAAGTTAAGTTTCTTGTGCATGTGCATTCATATTTTCTTTGTTTTGTCACCAGTTAATGAATAGGAATAATCTGCAAGGAATGAATAATGTCTTTGTTTCTGATGTGTTTTGAATGTGGAATAAGAGCTCTCTGTTTGGTGGTCCTGGGAGAGGAGATATGTGTATATATGAATTGTTGCTTCTCCTGCTAGAGGGTGATAAGAGATCAACAAGTGCAACTTCCTTGGCTTTTTTTTTTTTTTTTTTACCTTGAAGATTGAGGAGCGCAAATCCCTGCTCTCTCAGGGTGCAGCTGAACTAGCAAAAGTTGGATACACAATTTAACGTTGGTAATACTGTTTTTTTTGGTAACAAGCAGAGGTTGTACTGTAAAGAGTGTCAGCATGTCCAATATTTGTGAGTATGTAGGTAGATTTTTATTTGTTTTTGTGAGGGTGTTTTTGTTTTGCTTTGGTTTTTTTTTTTTTTTTTTTTTGTGTGTGAAAACTCACCATATAAGGAGATCATAGGCTGGGAGAATTGGACAATAACCCTTAGAAGATGCCTTGTTTCAGGCTTCTGCAATTTTTTTAAGGGGGGTTCTTACTGAGAAATACTCATGTAGCCTGGATAGAAGGGGCCTTTTGGAGCCTTACAATGTGGATTTTTATAGCTGAGAAAATGACAGTTTTGCCTGTGAATGGAGCTAAGAGCATTTATGATTTTGTGCGTCAGTCAACTGGATACAGCTTGCATCTCTCAGAACTGGTTAAAGTAATGGCATGGGCCCATGGTACTGGTTAGATACTTGCTGATCCATCAGCCCCTTGCAGAATGAAGGAATAGCTCTGGTACTTCCCCCTAGAGTTGCTTGGGAATATTTTAAGTACTTTGCTTTTAAAAAAAAAAAAACTCTTCCCCTGCCTCCTCCTTCCTCCACTCCCCTCCCCCCTCCATTTGCAGGACACGGGATGTTCAGCCACAGTTTAGTTTTTCAGAATGTGCCTGCGTTTATTGCTGCTGGATTAGTTTACACACCAGCCATAAGTGTTGGTCCTAACAGATTTTTCAGGAGGACAGTCCATCGGAGATAGGGTGTGCATACAGATAGCTTGTATTTGTGTGCTGGTTGATGTATGTGGCGTAGCGTGTGCATACACATATCTATATCTTGAGAGGACTGTCCTATGAGGCTCTAGAAAGCATCATCTAGGTTTTACCCAGCACATGGAGAACTGTCCCAAGGCTGACCATATGGTGGCTTTTAATTGCTAAGCTTTAGGGGTGATCTCTCCCTTGTTTGTATGGTGGTTTTTTGTTGGATTGATTTAATATAACGTGTTCGTTCAATGTCTTGTTTGCCTTACAAACAGCATTCTGTGTGTTCTTGCTGATCCTCTATGTGCTTGGTTAAAGAACTCTCTACTGTGTGCTCAGGGCCTTGGTAGTATTATGAGACCTTGTCAACTTTTAGAAAAAATATGAACTAACTGAATAGCAGAGCCAGAAGGAATTATTTCATTCAATTCAAGCATTAGTAGCAGGGCTTGCTTGCTTGCTTCCAGACTCATATTCTTGAGTCCTTGTTCCTGCAACTGGCAGGAGTGATGGCAGGTTAGTCCCTTCAATACCATGTATCTGATTTAAAAGACAAACAAGAGAAGATAGTAATAAATGGACCATTAAGGAAAATCTCTGCCTGCAAGGAAGGAGTTATTCAGGCTCAGTCTTTCCAACCTGGGCTCCACAGCTAGGCAGAAACAAGCTAGGACATCAGCAGAACCTCACAAGTTCTGCTACCAGAGGACACACCACTCCCATACTGAAGGAAACAAGATTTGCCCCTCAGTAATTAGTGTATAATTAAGCTAAAAGACCACTGAGCGTTAATATGAACATCCATTACAGGATTCTGCAAGTTATACTGGTATAGAGTGATTATAAGAGCTGATTGGAATTTTTTTGATTGTATATTATCTGAAATGTAGGTAGACACACACAGATCCAAAAATAGTCAATCGACAAATGGCTTGGGGGCTCATTTGGGCTGTGAAAAACATTGCTGCCCAGAGCAGGGACTTGAATCCGTATTTCCTACATAGGGATGCCAATTTTCCAATTGCAAAAAACCAAACACCTTGGTCTGGCCCCACCCCTTCTCCAGGAACCCACCCCCTCTCCAGGACCTTGCCACCACTCGCTCCATCCTCCTACCCCTAAGTCTGTTGCTCTTCCCAACCCTTGCTCATTCATTCATTTTCATCAAGCTGGGGTGGGGTGTTAGGTTACAGGAGAGGGTGAAGGCTCTAGCTGGGGATGTGGGCTCTGGGGTGGGGCCATGGAGGAGGGGGTTTGGGTGCAGGAGGAGGCTCCAAACTGGGGCTGAGGGGGTTGGAGTGTGCGAGGGGGCTCGGGATTCAGAGTTTGACAGGGGTTTGGGGTGTCAGAGGGGGTTTGGGTGGCTCCAGGTGGCACTGACCTCATGCAGCTCCTGAGAAACAGCAATATGTCCCCCCCCAGTTTCATGCAGTGCCCTGGCCCACAAGCACCATCCCTGAAGTCAAGGATCAGTAAGTTTTATTTTATTTATTTGCATTGACCCAAGTTGTCTCTAAAGCAGGGGTGGGGAACATCAGGCCCGAGGGCTGGATGAGGCCCCTGGCTTGCTTGGATCTGGCCCCCGAGGCTCAGGGCTCTACCCCAGCATTGGAGAGCCTGTGTTGGCACTCCAGACACACACACACACGCACACCCATCCTCCCCCCACCACCACCGCAGGGGTGGAGCACACACAATCTACTAGCCTGGGTCCTCTTAGGCTTTCGTGTGTGAGGGGCATGTGAGGAGCATCTTTCTCCTTCTCAGTCAGGGGCCACATCAATGAAGGATGGTTTGTTTCACTTGTGTGTGGCCCCCCCACTGATTTCTTTTCTGTGGGTCAGTAGCCCCAGACCTAGAAAAAGGTTCCCCACCCCTGCTCTAAAGTAAGCAGAAGGACTGGAGCTGAATTTGACTTCCTTCGTTTCCAGGCCTGAAGGAGCTCTCTCAGACTGGCTGCTTGGGATACATGCAGGTGCCAGGGGTTGGACCATTGTGGTTTTACAGCCCTTGTGTTCTTATCTAGCTGCTTGGTGGCTGAGGAAGATATTGAAGCATCAGCACATTTGGAAAGTTATCTCGATACTCATGAGCATTTCTTTTAAAGTGTAGCTTATGTAGAAACTGGCTTGTACAACAGTCCCTCCCCCATGACTTATTGGAATGACTTTGTCAAGCCTTAATCACCAGCCAGTATTGCCAGTTCACAGGAGGCTTGTGATGTTTGGTATTTTGCTTTTTCAATCAAGACAATGCATAAGAATTTGGTTAACAAGGCAATTTTCTACTTCCACTCTTGTGGAGAAAAACTTGAAAACATAAATCAGATGCATCCAAGGGCTCAAACTAGGATGAAAATATAAAGAATTCCACATTTATTGTTTAAAAAAAACCAATCTCATTCATTTTAAGACTCTTTTACATTGTTATGGGCTTGACTCATGATTTTGGAAAGTATGGGGCTAGCCATACTGTAAACTCCTGGCCTTTATGAGCCAGAGCAGAAAACACACTTTGCTGCACAGGGACAGAAGTGCATGAAGGAAGCCTGTCTTCATACAGCTGCACCAGGGCTTTCCAGAAAAGCAGTTCCTGTGCCATGGGGAGCACAAACAGGTCCAGAAAGCTGAGAAGGGGACGTTGAGTGGCTTTGGCTCTGCTCCTTTGTGCATGAGCACAATTTGCTCCATGCTGCGGGAGCTGATTAGTTAACCCATGTGCCCAGCAAAGCCGCACTACCCACCATGTCGGGCTGTGCCATAAACGGCTCGCACTTCTTCCAATGGAAAGTACATTTTCAGACCCAAACACACATGTTCACTGAGGGTATGTCTAAGCTACCCCGCTAGTTCGAACTAGCGGGGTAATGTAGGCATACCGCAATTGCAAATGAAGCCCGGGATTTGAATTTCTCGGGCTTCATTTGCATAAGCGGGGCACCGCCATTTTTAAATCCCCACTCGTTCGAACCCCGTGCCGCGTGGCTACACGCGGCACGAACTAAGTAGTTCGAACTAGGCTTCCTAGTTCGAACTACCGTTACTCCTCGTGGAATGGTAAACAGAAAACTTCTCTGTGGCCTTCACAATCAACCCAGGGGATAGCTTGCTGTAGTAGTCTAATCTCTAGGTGCTGAGGTACACTAGCGAGTTATTTCAAAATAATCCTTCCTTGTTTTGAAATAATAAGTGGAGCATCCACACTACCACGCCCGTTATTTCAAATAACAGGCCAGTTATTTCAAAATCTGTACTCCTGCTTTCCTGGGGGAATAAGCTTATTTTGAAATAATTATTTTGGGAGTTGTTTCAGATTTAATTATTTTGAAATAATTTCCTAGTGTAGACAGACATGCCCTAGGTGACAAGGCACGGATTACTATGGGGAAGGTTCATTTCTGAGAGGAAGGGACATTGTCATATGCCTATATTAAGACAGAAAGTATTCATGGTGATTGCTACAAAAGCATTAGAAGTATTTAAGTAGAAATCACTGCTCCCCATCTTGACAACCAGAGGTCTCGTGCCCCCTACAAAGGGTACAGTTATCATTACTAGCATTTTCCAGTAGTGCTTTCTTCATTTTCACAGCATTGCTTCGCTCAGGCCAGGGATACAAGTCAGCTGGTCCTTGTGCTGGTCTGTAATTCCAAGACAGACTCTGGGCTTCTTTCTTACTATAAAAATAAATAGTACCATTTTTTAAAGCAGAGAGATACAGTATGTTCATAGTATTCCTATTAACAAATAAATGAATTCTTTCAAACAGACCCAGAATGCAGCTGCTTGTTATATTGGCATATTTGTTCCAACTATGCTATTCAGAAGAATTCAGGAGATGGAAACCTAAACATATAGAAGAAATGCTAAAGAAGGCAAATGTGGATCCAGAATGTTTTATGAATGTTGTAAGTGACATAATTTTCTTGCCTTAAAATATGGATTGCATTACTGGTTGGACCGTGATTGTCCGGACTTCTGTGGGTGATCCTGGGATAGAGCACTCACAGGATAAAGCCAGGTCCTGTGCTCCGTAATGCCTGCCCCACCTTCCCAGAGCTTCCAGAGCACAATAGCTCAGGGAGGAAGGAGGAGGAATAGGAACAGGAGGGGAAAGAGGCAGGATGAGGAACCCCATGGGACTTTGCTTCTGGCCCCAAGCTGGGGGGCTCTGCCTCTTCCCTTAAGTGTTCCCCAAGTCCACGCTCGGTCAATGTCATCTCCTCTGCTGCTGCTGGACAGAACCCCTCAGCCAGCGACATTAGAGGGACTGGCATTGATCTCCTCTGGTCTGGCAGATTCCCTAGTTCAGGACCAGTCAGGTCCCATGGGTGCCAGACCAGGGAAGTACAACCTGTATTACTAATACTAAATCACTGATCATGGTCTGCGTGCCAAACTAATTTTATTAGAGTCCAGATCACAGTGAGGCCAAGCTACATTCACATGAACAGTAGATGTATCTTTGTATAAAATCACATGAGACAGCATGTGAGTGTGGTGCTGCTGCCATCACCTCACTTTTGTCTGAAAGGACAGAGGAGTAGTTGTTTTGGGGCATGGGGAGTCAAAACTCCTGAATCCTGTGCCCAGCTCTGCTGCTGGTTTGCATTGTTTATGAGCAGTGTGCTTAAGGCCTGATCCAGCTCCTACAGAAATCCAAGGAAGTCTCTCCATGTATGAACAAACTGCCTATGTAGCAACTGTAAGCCCCAGTCAGAGTTAGTTAGAGGTGGCAATAGCTTCCTCTGACAGAGCTTCATATTTATGTGCATGTTAGGGGGTTGAGAAGAGATTTGAGTGAGTGACGGTGTCTGCTGCACTGGGACAGGAAAGGAATTTCAAGATCCAGATGCTTCACCTTGGAGACTTTGATTGCCAGACAGTCAGATCCCCAGTACAGTTGGAGGAGACTTTTTTCCAATCAGAAATAAATTAACCTTTCCCCTGTAATAACATAGATGCTCATTACATCATCTAGGAAGTTAAATATCTTCCCGCAAAAACTGGGTTCTGATTTACAGGCTCCCTGACAATGTAGGGATCAAGCTACAAGCCTGCTGTCTGCATCATTTAAAAATTGTTCCAGGCTAAAGGTGACAGTTTTATGAGTAAGTTGTACCATCATTTTTCAGGTTAAAGGACCATGCATTTCTTGCAAAAGTATTATTATGCACTGCAGCATTAAAAGAGCACTAAGCTCCTAAAGCTTTATAGCAAGCTTGCATAACCGGATGAATATATTCATATTATGCTGACTGTCACATTTCAAAGTAGAATGTTGCTTCCCAGCATCCAGGGAACCTGTTCATCTCTCTTTTTTTAAAAGAGGGTTTTGAATGAAGAGGGAATGAATTGCCTATGAGTCAGGCTATAACACAATTCACTCTTTTATTATACATTTTACTGGTGCTTTATCCACACACCTAGCTAGAATGGCATTGTTTGAAAATAAGCCCTATATTCAAAACCATTTCTACTAATAGATTTCTGAATTTTCAGAAGAGCCAGTCAAATAGTAGGAAAAAAAATATCTGGTGAATACCTCACTTGACCAATTTCATAATAAGTAAAATATATTAGTTGACTAGTATTAGACCATCTCTGATCAAATACCACTAAAAGGATTCATCTATTCAGAAGTCCAAAAGTTGAAAATAATCAGAAAAAAATATTAACCTAATTCTATTCAGTCAGACGTCCTGTTTAATTTTTAGCCATAAACCCTATCAGCAAAGAATTCAAATCTGTTCAGTACCTAGCTACCAACACTATGGTGATGGCTATTTCTGAAATATTAATTAATGGTACGGAATTAATTGTTTCAGAGAGGTAGCCGAGTTAGTCTGTAACAGGAAAAACTTAAAAAACAAGAAATAGTCTGGTAGCTCTTTAAAGACTAACAAAACATGTAGATGAGCTTTCATGGGCACAGCCCACTTCAGAGTCATCAGACTATTTGTTGTTTTTTATGGAATTAATTGTAATTATTGATAATTTTTAGGGGTGTAGCAATGACTTTTATCTGGTCTAGAGGCTACATTTCCTAAGGGGGTCTCAGCTGTGCTGGTATGACAGTGTTACAGCATATTGCAGCAACAGCGCTTTTTGGCCATCTCTTAAAGCAGTAGTCACCAACCAGTAGATTGGGATCTACTGGTAGATCTTGAAGCCTCTGACAGGTGATCCTGACCAGGAAGATATCAAGCACTGGCACTTCATTGCCCCATCCCTCACCATCATGCTGCTCCTGCCCTCTGCCTTAAAGTTGCCCCCTGGGATCCTCCTGCTTGCTGTTCAGAGTGTGGGAGGGACATGGAGGGGGTGCTGATGTCAGGGTGTCCCTTCTCCCCCTGCTTCTGTACCCACACAGAAAGAGGGGGATGGAAGGAGCTTGGCAATGCAAATCTCTGTCACTCTCACACAGTGTGTATCTGTCACTCACAAACACACGCTGTCCTTCACACTCATCTCCTGACCCAACATAAGTCCCCCCCCCCCATGTATATTGTTACTACTTTTACTGCTTGCAAAGTGCATTATTTTTTATTTGTGACTGGTCTGTGCACTTCATAATTTTCATTTTTCTATTACACATAAATTTAAGTCTTTGCACAGTGAGTTCTAAGATGCCTAACCTGTCATGGCAGGAGTAATTATCCCTGTGGTAGCTGCTGCTCCTGGACGTGGCTGGCATGTTCCTGGAGCCTCTGAGAAAGGCAGAATGTCTGCAGACAGTGCTCCTGCAGCGCCCATTAATCAATAACAGAGAACTGTGGCCAGTAGAAGTGTGTGCAAGGCCAGGGCAGGAGTAAGCTTCCCTTAACGCCACTGCTCCACCACCTGCAAGCCATCTCAGTTAAACAGTGCCCAGCCAGAGCCTGCAACCCGAACCCCTGTCCCAGTCCTGAACTTCCTCTTACACCCAGCCGCCTGCCCCAGACGTGAGTTCCCCTGCACTTCAAACTCCTTCCCAGAGCTTTCACCCTGAAACCCCTCCTGCATCCCAACCCCCCCACCCTAAGCTAAGCCTGGAGACCCTCCCGCACTCAGAACTCCTTGGCCAAAGACCAGAGCCTTCACCACAACCCTTACTCCCACCTGGTGCAAGTGAGTGAGGATGAGAGAGGAAGGGGGATGGAGTGAGCAAGGTGAGGTCTCGGAGAAGGGGTTGAGCAGGGATAGGGCCTCGAAAGAAGGTGAGAGAAGGAAGCTGAACAAGGGTATTTGAGTTTGAGGTAGATCTTACATTGCACTTAAATTGAAAAGGTGATCTTGTGGTTAAAAAGATTGGAGACCACTGTCTTAAAAGGAGGGCGCAGAGCTTTTCTGTACTTCAATTATCACTTTGGGATCATTACTAGTTTGTATAACTAGAGCCCTGGGGAAATGAATGGGTACTTCACATCCCTGGGAACTGGAAGAGCACAAAGATGGTGTATGGTCACCTTCTCCCTCTCCTATGATGAGCAACAGCTTCAGTGGATATGTGGATTGGGACCAAAATTTCCTACAAGAGACCTCTGACTGTGAACAATGTGAAAAGAGGGTATGTGTAGATAAACCTTTATTTGATTTCCTGCAGAGTGAAATTATCAGGTACCATGGATACCCCAGTGAGGAATATGAAGTTACAACAGAAGATGGGTATATTCTTAGTGTTAACAGAATTCCTGGTGGGAAGAACGGTGGGAACACAGGTATGGTTTATGTGTGTGATGATAGGAAGGCTTGGTGGGCCAAGTTTTTGTGGTGCAATTGGGAGCCTGGAAGTCCAAGCAGGACGAGGGTGCCTAGAAGCTCTGGGAGCCATGGCTAAATCAGGAGCCTTGGAGATTGGGCTTGCAAGTTCAGTTCTTTCAAAAACATCTTAACATTTTTTTGAAAAAAATTCTTTCAAAAGATTTTGAAATTGTGTTCTGAAATAGAATATTTGTTCAGAACTTTGTACAGATGGAAATTCCTTCTTTACCAGCTCTTGTTGCTGCACAACAATTATATATTACCCAATAGTAAAAACACCACACCTTGTCTTTCCAAGAGTCATCATCACCAGGTAACAACAGCCAGAGTGTCATGTTATTAACCTCTAGTTATATTTGCAAATAAAAATTCTGGTTGGTGGCAGTTAAGGTTTCAGCAGAACTTTCTTCCTCTGAAAACTTCTTAGGAAGGAAAATACACATGCATTGCTTTTCACCTTCCCGTGACTGACCATTTGTGTACCGGACTTCAACTTTCCATGAGGCTTTTACTTCCTTCTCCAAGAGATTTCCAAATATTAACACATCCTTCAGCTTCATCTAGTGCAAAACTCTAATGGTCATCTGATGTGCCTAGCAGCAGTTTGGCACACCTTACAGTTGCACATGCCATGCAATTGGGGAGGTAATCTGCCTCAATGCTGCCCAGGTTACTCAAGGGAAATACACCAAGAATAAGCTTCCATTCTTAGCAGCGATGAAATAACCAGTCAGCTGGAAGGAGCCTTAGTGAAGGAGTCTCTGTCATCACTCATTCCAAAACACTCCATAATCTCTCTTGGACTTCTGGAAATTGGATGCAGCCACAGGTAGTTGCAGCAGCAGATCTGCCCATTTCTTTACACCTTCCCGGCCACTACAAAGCATATTTTTTAATCTTCAAACACGCCAATAAAGATTATAGGCACCATTTGGATCAACACTTGGGATTGAATGGATGACCTCCAGTGTGAAAAGCATGCACTAAAGAGTAAATCAGAGCCATCACAGACTCTCATCCTCTATGGATTGGTTCCAGAGAGCCACACCAGAAGCACTGAGCAATGGGTTACTCAAGCAAAGTGTGTGACAACTTACATATTTCAGCTGGTGAGTCACATATTAATTTACAGATTACTCAAGTTTTCCTATACAAAGGTCTATTTTAAAGAGCTTTTCACTATGATTCATATGCAACCATTCCATCACCTTGCAAGATCAGCAATGGGGTCTTCCAATCCATATTTTACACTTTTACAGTTGAGCTCAGGACTAACTGCCCCACCTTTTGGAGACCTGCCAGTAGAAGAGAACTTTATACATGCTATCCCAATGATTTACATAGACTCTTGCTGACTAGTAAATAGTTATTGGAGATCCTGTGTTCTACCTTGGGCTGTGGATTCACCAAGGGCAAGTCATGCCTGACCAACCTGATTAGCTTCTATGATGAGGTGACTGGCTCTGTGGACATGGGGAAGTCAGTGGGTGTAAAATACCTTGACTTTAGCAAAGCTTTTGATACGGTCTCCCACAATATTCTTGCCAGCAAGTTAAGGAAGTATGGATTGGATAAATGGACTGTAAGGTTGATAGAAAGCTGGCTAGATTGTTGAGTCCAAAGGGTAGTGATCAATGGCTTGATGTCTGGCTGGTAGTCGATTTCAAGTGGAGTGCCCCAAGGATTGGTTTTAGAGCTGGTTTTGTTCATCTTTAATGACCTGGATAAGAGGATGGATTGCATCCTCAGCAAGTTTGCAGATTATATTAAGCTGGGAGAGATGTAGATAGGCTCCATGGTAACCTAGACAAATTGGAGGACTGGGTCAAAAGACCTCTGATGAGGTTCAACAAGTACAAGTGCAGAGTCCTGAACTTGGGACGGAAGAATCCCAAGCATTGTTACAGGCTCAGGACAGAGTGGCTAAGCAGCAGTTTAGCAGAAAAGAACCTGAGTGGATAAGAAGCTGGGTATGAGTCAACAATGTGCTCTTGTAGCTAAGAAGGCTAATGGCATATTAGGGCACATTAGGAAGAACACTGCCAGCAGATCTAGAGAAGTGATTTTTTCCCCTTTATTTGGCACTGGTGAGGCCACATCTGGAGTATTGCATCTGCGCCCCCTCCCCCCCCCCCCCCCACACACACTATAGAAAGGATGTGGACACATTGGAGAGGGTCCAGCGGAGGGCAACCAAAATGATTAGGGGGCTGGAGCACATGACCTATGAGGAGAGGCTGAGGGATGTGGGTTTATTTCATCTGCAGAAGAGAAGAATGAGGGGGGATTTGATAGCAGCCTTCAACTTCCTGAAAGGAGGTTCCAAAGAGGATGGAGAGAGGCTGTTCTCAGTAGTGACGGATGCCAGAACAAGGAGCAATGGTCTTAAGTTACATGCGGGAGGTCTAGGTTGGATATTAGGAAAAACTATTTCATTAGGCGGGTGGTGAAGTACTGTAGAGGTGGTAGAATCTCCAACCATGGAGGTTTTTAAGTCCCAGCTTGACAAAGTCCTGGCTGGGATGATTTAGTTCGGGTTGGTCCTGCTTTGGGCAGTGGGTTGGACTCGATGACCTCCTGAGGTCTCTTCTAGTCCTATGATTGTATGATTCTTTGGGAAGAAGTCTGTGGTTTCTCATGGTTAGAGACAGTGTGACTAAACCAGTTTGGATTATCCTGAGTGGCAGCATGATGTAGTTGGGCTTGTCAAGGTACTTAGATATCTAAGTTCTCGGTTTCCAGACTCCTTCACTGCTGTCTTCCAACTTGGGGTTCATGACCTTAATCAATAATAATAGTAGTGGCACTCTCCTTCCAGTTACCCCAAGAACTTCATGACAGGCTCTCTTGCCTCAATAAGACACCTTCTGGGAGCTAGAATATTACACAGAACATGCAGTAGCCCTGTAAGCAGAAGTTCTAGCATAGCTCATTTAGAGGAACCAGCCACCTTATGGCACGCAGGAATTTCATAGTTAGAAGAGATGAGATTTGTAACCCAGGTCTCCTCTTGCCCCACTTGAGGATCTTTCCCCCAGATTACAGGCATATTTGGAGAAAGGTTTCCCCTACGTTTGTTTTGTTATCTCTCTTGGAGTCACAATTTTGCCATTCTGACTCAAAAGTTCTAAAATACTCCATTGATACTTTTTCCATGTATAACTCGTATTCTTGGAAATCAGCACGAGGAGCAACAACATGGGCAAAGGGCAGGTCATAGAGATATAGATTTGATGCAAAAGAGGTGCAAAGATGACTCAATCCAGTAAGAAATTGCCAAAAGAGTCAATTTTGAGCTCTTCTTGTTCTTTCTCTGATTCACTTTTCATCAAATCAGCATGAAAAACAGTTGTACTTAGTTTCTATTCTGTGTAATTGCGGTTTGTCATTTGAATGAGAATTTTACAAAATAAGGGCCTCTTAAAGCCAGCTCTGTAACACAACTGTGTAGTTATTACTGTGCCCTAATAAAATATTCTTCCTTTTCAGGGCAAAAGCCTGTAGTGTTTTTGCAACATCCACTCGTCGGAGATGCTACCCACTGGATTTCAAACCTGTACAACAATAGCCTGGGCTTCTTGTTAGCAGATGCTGGCTTTGATGTTTGGATAGGAAACAGCAGAGGGAACACTTGGTCTACAAAACACAAAACACTTAAACCTGACCAACAAAAGTTCTGGGAATTCAGGTAAAGTGAATTATGGAGAACCGTTAAAAATGGAACTGTATGGCTCCTTGGAGACTGACTGGGTTGGGGG